ACATTAAACAAAATGAAAGTATTATTATGGAGCACCTGGGTGACTCATTCGGGTGAGTGTCCAACTTTGGCTTTTAAGTCATGATCTTGCAGTTCATGAGTTTGAGCCCCCCATCGGGCTCAGTGCTGTCTGTGCAGAGCCTGCTTTGGATCCTCTATCTCCCCCTCTCTACCCCTCTCCCACTCGTGATCTCTGTCTCTCTCTCTCTCAAAAATAAATAAACATTAAAAAATTATTGTTAGAAGAACAGGAAGGGGGACTTGTAATAGCAGGGGCTCTGAGCCTCCTGAGATCTGTCATTGACCTAGCAGTCGGCGGGCACAAGGGGAGCCGGGCCCAAGGCCGGGAGGGTGTGGCGACAGCATGATGGGACACTAGGTCAGAGAACGGTCACCCTGAGGCTGGTGCCTGGAAGTGGGGGGACCTTCAGGGATTGTGTGCTGGCCCAGGTTGCCTGTGGGTCACATTTAGGGGCGTGAGGAAAACGAGAACTTCTTTGAAGTTTGATCAGGTGAGGTGAGAGGACATTTTCTGACTGGTCAGTGGGGACAGACAGGTTGGCCAATCTTTTGTGAGGCAAAGAATGGGAAGGTCCAGGGTCTGGGTCGGTCTGCTCTTAGGTGAACTGGGAATCATCTACAGGCCTTATCTAAATCCCCTGAGGAGGAGGCACTCTGCAGGGAGCCATTCCCAGGAATGGGAAAGGGCCCCAGGCTGTCCTCATCATCACTGTTTTAGGAGCACTGGGGCTGGTTCAATTCGGCATCCTCGGGGCACACTTATCTGATGTGCTTTAATCTTCCTGATAACCCTTCAGTGCTGCAGCCTCCACTGGGGCAAATATGGTGACACTGGGGACTGGGAGGGCTAAGGAACTATCGTGGCCACACTGCCGGTAAGAGGGCGCCCCGCTGCTTCAGAAGGCTGTGGCCTGGGAGCACCAGCGTGTCCTAGAACTTGGGCACTTGAGACAGCCGTGCTCCCCGACTCCTGTACCATTCGTGTTGTCTGAAGGATGCAAGAGGCTTTCACAGCCCATGCATCACTTAGGCCTCGTCTTGTTGTAGGTACCCACCTGGGCGGCTTATGGTTTGTTGGTTTGGTTTGTTCAAGTACATGATGGCACCTCAGAGAATCCACGGAGGAACCGATCGTGTAATCACAAGAAGGAGCAGCAAGGGCTTTAAGCCCAAGATGTAGAGAGGGACCGGAGTCGGTGGCTCCTCTCCCCAGCGGTGTTTCTCAGTAGGGACACGGTTGACATTTTACACAGGACACTCCTTCATTGTGAGGGGCAGTCCCCTCCGTTTCTGATGTGTGATAGTCTTGGCTTTTGCCCACTAAGTGCCAGGAGTGACCTACAGTCAGCGTGACAAGCAAACATGCTAAGTATTTCCAGATTCTCCCGGGAAGGTGATGCAATCAGGGGTTGAGAACCCGACCAAGCAACCGAGCGTACTGCCGTCGTTGTGAGTCAGCATTAAGGACACTGAGGGTCCACACTCTCAGTTCTCAGCCGCAGACCTGGGCACGGCCGTGCCGGTTCAGTATGCACTGCCGTCGGAGGGTAGTCGGTGTGTAGTAACCGGTGGGTGTTGTTTACGTAAAATTATGTATGTTCTTAATAGCTGAATTCATCAATTTATTCCTTACCCATTTGGCATAGGATACGCACCATCTATTGGTTGCTCTGTTAGGTGATTTTTTATACATTTCCGTATTTAATTCATATGACCAGCACCGCCGGTGGGTCCTAAGGTCCCTGTGTTGTGGATGAAGTCCGACACCCGTGAGAGGGACTTGACCTGGGACACATGACTCCTGCACAATACATGCTTGAACAGAGAAGTCGGTGAAAATGTTCTGCTTGCCAAAGTACTCATTTATGTACTTTTTGTGAAGGAAAGACTAATAGAAGTTAAGTGGAGAAAGAAACTCCTGAAGGCATATAAAATCATAAAAATGTTTTTCCTCTGCATGTAGAGGCCTGTGTCTTTATGTTTTACAAGTGACCTTGAATAAATCCTACCATTCTGTGGGCTTCAGTTTTCTCCGTATAAAATTAGATGTTTGGACTGGATGATTTCTAAGGCCTCTTAGTTTTTATTAATGGGGAAATATTTAACTACTAAAGACGTGATGCAAATATGGCTGTTTGACCACAAATGTATTCTCATGCCATCCTTGAAACCTGCCAAAATGAATGTAAATGAAGTAAAAAGGCACAGATCCTCAAAGACAAGAATGGAAGGGCGAGGCAACAATAGGCCAATGACTGGAGTGAGATTTCAGTGGCTGCAAAATAAATGGACAAATGGTAATGACTTAGGAGAGCAGAGAAAGAAGAATCCAAGCTCACAGGGCCAGAGAAGTGTCCCAGAAATTTGGTCAGTAGTGTGGGAACACCTTGAGAAAACTCCGGAATCCTAGATGCCAGTTACTGAGAAGGTGGATTTAGGGGCAGAACTGAAGTGGAGACTTGGTTCAGAGCTTATGTGAGAAGTGGTTAGGGGCACTTGGGGGGCTCAGTCTGGTTGGGCATCTGATTCTCGATTTCGGCTCATGTCACGATCCCAGGGTTATGGGATTGAGCCCCACATCAGGCTCCGTGCCGAGGTGGGGCTTGCTGGAGATTCTCTCTTTCTCTCTCTCTCCTCACCCTCCCCTGCTAGCACATGCTCTTTCTCTAGAAATAAAATTTAAAAAAAGAAGTAGTAGTTAGACCACTGGATGCTCCTCCCAGCTTATGAAGCCAGGCACCTACAGCAGACTAGAGATTTCCTGAAGGAGTTGAGTAAAGAAACTCTGGGCTCTGAGACCCAGATGGATTCAACTGAGGGCTAGAGATGCCACACTGGAAAATGAGGCATTATTTCCCTTAAATAAAAGTGTACGTAGCTCATAGTGGGAATCCCAACATTCCAGCAGCCAGGCTGATACCTCCTCCTGGGAGATCAGGGAGTTCCAGGGTGTCCAGGTAATGTTTTTGAGCTGCAACCTTAAATTTTTAAGAGCAGGCAGCAGGGGGGATTACTGGTCACTTGAGGAAAGCCGATAATGTAGGAAGAGACCAATTCGCACAACATGAATCTGTTGGAAGCAGCAGATGCTATAAGCTCCAAGTTGGGGGAAGGGGGCACTGCATTAAAATCCTCAGAAAGATAAGAATTTGTATCAATTACATAAAATATTTTTAAGATGCTGTAAAAAAGGAACAAATATAAGAAAATGCTATTAGTAGTTAAACGTTTGATAGCAAAAATGAAAAAAATCAAAAGATATGTAGGAAATATACTTAAATCTCCCAGAAAGTAAAAGAGAGCGAGAGAAGGTGAAAGAGAAAGAGGAAGAATAAGAGAGAAATTTAGAGTTCCAAACCAGGAGATCCTGATAGACACATAAGAATTTCCAGAAAGATAAAGCAGAGCAAATGGGGAACCAAGAAATAAGGCAGGGATCCGTGGGTGGAGACACTGATTTTTTCCTACGTTGTATTATTTGATATTTTTAACTCTGTATCATTTCTATTTTTTAAAAAGTAATTGACTTTAAATTTTAAAAAAAGTATTTAATTTGAAGGTTAAAAATACTGTAGTTATTTGAGTTTTCATTGAAGACTAATAAAATTAAAAGTGAGCAAGGAAAAAATACCATTTTGATTTTTTAAAAGCTCGTATTTTAAGAATATTACTTCACTTTCCATAGAGAAATTGAGGAACAATTGTCTTTTAAAAACAGCAACAGCACAGCAGTGGCATAGATTGTGGACGAGAGCTGATACCAAAGCAGCAGCTGCGTAAGTTTGTAATCCGCAATCTTGCCAAAAGATTGCCTAGTCAGTAGGGCTGACTTTTCCTTTTGGGAACAAGAAATATTCACAACTTAATTATAGTAACGCTTTTAACAGTTGTGTGAAATTCCTAATAATATCCTTTCATTCATGAAATACCCTTTCATTCAAGATGTATTTATTATCTATTATGTGCTAAGCATTGTTCTGGTTTTTTTATATGGACCCATTTAATCCTCCTAACTGCGTTATGAGGGTGGGTTGTGTTGTCATTTGCCATTCTCATTTTGTAGGTGAGGAATCCAAGGTACAGAGAGATTAGGTAACGCAGTTACTAGCCAGGTTACTCAGCTGGTAAATGGAAAAACCATGTCTTAAAACCACGGCAGTGTAGCCTCAGAATCTATGCCATTAATGAATTCACTTCTACGCTGCCTGTTAAATAAAGAACCCCGTAGAATCTAGACTAAATATTTTGTCAACATTTCCAAAGCTTGTTGTTTTAGAAGAGTTAGATGTTGGGGCACTTGGGTGGCTCCGTTGGTTAAGCATCCAACTTTTGCTCAGGTCATGATCTCACAGTTTGTGGGTTTGAGCCCCACATCGGGCTCTGTGCTGACAGCTTGGAGCCTGGAGCCCGCTTCTGATTCTGTGTCTCCGTCTCTCTGTCCCTCCCCTGGTCACGCTCTGTCTCTCTCTGTCTCTCAAAAATAAATAAATGTTAAAAAAATAGAAGAGGTAGATGAATTTTGTCATAAAGCTTTGTGAGCCACTGACTGCTTGAGAACTCATCTAGGCCAGTGCACTCCCTGGTTGACTGACCAGGTGGAAGGACCCAGATGCTCCATAATGACCAGCCCAGTGCACATTACCTCTTCCCCACCCACATCCTCATGCTAGCACTGTTTGTGCTTCATGTCAGATGCCTACTGAAAGTGTCAGGACAACAACTTAGGAATTCTGGGAATAGCTTCATTTATAATTTGTGAAATCTAGCCATCATTGAAATGGTTGGTTTTTTTACTCTACAATTTTTAACCCCATTTTATGGGGTTTGTGAAAAACATTACAGTGTGATGCATATAGTAGGAACTTAAATATCTGATGTTAATTAGTAATGTGCAGTGTACTGTCGTGTTTCCTGACGTTCAAGATTAATAAATTACTTTCAGATATGACTTACCAATTTGGTTTGTTTGTTTTCTCCTAGTTCAACTTTGTGGGGAAACTTCTGGGTCCCCGTGGCAATTCTCTGAAGCGCTTACAAGAAGAAACCTTGACAAAAATGTCCATCCTTGGAAAAGGTTCCATGCGAGACAAGGCAAAGGTAACATTCGTTGTAGACAATGGCTGCTTTTGGAGACAGGTTGTATAATCCACCTTTAGAGTATCCATCGTATTAATACAAATTATATAAGAGCTAGCTAGGATCTTAAATGAAGTTATATGGAAACGTTGTAGAAGGCGGTGAGTCTGGGATATGGCCAAAAATGGAGTCACTCGGGCCAGTTTCAGAACATGCAGCGTCTTACACGTACGTCTGTAACTATCACATTCATTTGTAAAATGAAGTAGCAATACCTGTGGTTTTGATTGTAGATACAACACCTGGTAGACAGATCAGTGAGACTGAAATTCCCATGAAGAGAAATCAAAGTTATCTGTGGTCTCGGGGCCACTGTTGGCATTTTAGAGGAGTCCCTTTGGGCCTTTTTTGTAGGCTTGTATTTCACATGGTTGAGTTCATAAAGTATACACCTTTATTTGCCCTTTTTGCCCTTCATTCGATACCCTTTATGTTTTACCAGGTTCAAGTCGATTAATAATGGCTTAGCGTTCCAACACACAGTTGTTCTCCTTGGATGTATTCACGCTAACCTCCTCCTTTTTTAAGAAGTTAAAGTTAATGGAGTTGTTTTTATCGATCACTTTCTCAAATATACCACCTTTGAAAGAAGCATTCACGTTTCGTGCCGTGCTATCCCTGACAGTGTTCTCTGTTACCCTTTTGTTGTTCTGTCGTGGTGAAAAGATTGACATTCCTGAAAACCGAGTCTGCATTTAGTGGTCACTTACCATAAAAGGTCAGACGATGATTGTGTCCGACAAGAAAATTATTTACACAAAATCCAGCCTCCCCACACAAAAGTCCATCGAAACAAAGGCTTTTATAAGAAAAAATAGCTGTCATCTGCTTGTGAGTCAGGCACTCTGTGAAACATGTTACAGGCATTATTCCGTGTTCTCCCTGCAAAAATGATGGAAGGTACATAATATTTTTCTTGTTTTATGTGTAGAAAATCTGAGATTTAGGGAACCTGAGTGTATATCTGAGTTAATCAAGGAAGCTTATGAAATTATTTGATTAAAACATGGTTGTGTATCAGACACACATGGGATGCTGTTAAATATAAAGATTCCCATACAGCCTCTTTTGAGGGTAGAATCTCAAAATGAATTTTCAGGGGGTGGGGTTTGAAATGATTCTGGTGTGGGCCAGGTTAGGTTAACTACTCACTAAGCATTGCTGTCTCAGATGATGTTCCTTTGATTCCCTGACTCGTCTGTTCTGGATGGAGGAAAGGGAACCATATTTTGGTCAGTTGGTTAGAAATTCTGTGTATCTTGTACGAAAATACCCAATCCTTGCTGATACGTTAATGAGGTCTTCAGTAAGGCCATCCGGTCATGAGGTACGTGATATGCCCAGGGAAATTCATCTACATTGTACTGCTTATTTTGTTTGCTGTTAAGGGAGGGTTTTTTTGGTCAGAAGTAACATTTTATGGCTTACGGTGGCCGTGATCAGGGCGTCCACGGACAGTTTTACAGGTAGAAGGGAAGCAGGGAAGGCAAGTCTTTGGTTAGATCATATGTCCAAGTAATAGCAAGTGACTGGCTATCCGTTTAATGAAAGGGGTCCTAAATACTATCAGCTTGCTATCTGGGCTTGGTGGTCTGTTCAGATTATGGTGTCATTTTAAGGGCTCTCTCTGCCGTTGGCACAGCGGACACTCGGCAGTGCAGTAGCCAGGAATCTTTTCCAGAGGAGTCTGTGTTGTGAAGTAATATCTAATCTCTCCCTCTCTCTCACCGCAGACCCCTTATTGGAGTCCCTTGAGTAGCACTGAGGTGGGTGGGGAATGAGGTGCTTTGACATCTACAGTTAGTCCCTTTGGCTCCCTGGTCACTGAGTGTCTGCTCTGCATTGCATGGGGCACTCGGTTCTCTTACCTGTTGAGGCTTCTTTCCTAGACCACTTACCAGCCCTTCACTAATCCTCTCCTTTCTCTGTCCTTGACCACATGGGTCTGAGAATCAATATAGAGATTCTGTAAGTGGCTGGTCATTTCCATTCCCTCAGGACACCCCGGAACTGGGGAAGTAGAGTACATTGTAGGTTCACAGTCCATTAAGCCTGCTGTCAAGCGGCGGGCTCAGAAGTCCTTTATCTCTTGACCCCATGGACCCCACTCTCCACCCTCATCAGCGGCCTTCAGTTGAGCAGCGTTGGCTCAGAGTCAGGTTCGTTAATCCTCGGGCCGCCGGGTACCTCTTCTCGGTGTGCAGTCACTCGAGTAAAAGGCCCCCGATCCTCGTTGGCAAGACGGGGAGGGAGCGTCGTGTGCACGCAAGGGGATGTTGCCATTTACCGCGAGCTCTCTTGTTCTCTGCATCCCCGGGCCGGGCAGGGATCATGGGCCAGGAGGTCATCCTGAGGAACAGTGACAAAGCCTGAGGATTGTCCTCTCCTTTCACGGAACGACCTCGGCTACTCAAAACAGGGTAGGAAGAGCTCCAGCAGACTGGCTCCCGCCAGTGCCGAAGGTTCAGCAGGGCTGTGACCCTCGAAAACCCGGGGTTGTCTGGATCCTCTCTGATGTTGCCGGTCCAATTCTCAGGTCTTCACTGCTCTCCAGACCTTTTCCTAAATCCCACACAAGAGATGGCCGGGCCGTGTGCGTCGTCCTTCCGCGGCACACGGGCCTCGACTGTGCTTCCGTCTGGGGCCTCCGCCGGCCTTCGGCCGTGAGAGGTGACACCCTCCAGGCTGCCGCTGGCTCTTTGAGCCTCGAACTCCTAATGTCAAGTCTGGAGTCTGTCACTCTCTTTTTAAAATTCTTCACTACAGTGAACAATAGCCTGTTGCGCCCCACCCCACCGCCTTGCTCGTCCTGCCGTGCACACGCACGGCCATCGGTTACACCTTCAAGGCGTTTCACTGACGTGACCACGAGTGATGATTTCTACACAGATGGGGACTTACTGGAGTCCCGCCTGCCGTCCTGCAGTCGGTCCTCACGGCCTGAACTCTGGAGCGCTGGCTTCTGTTGAGCCTCTCAGCCTGCAGAAATTCTCAGTTAATAAATAATGTGGATTGCTGCAGAGATTTCCATTACTTAATGTTAAAATCTTGTAGCTTTTCAAAGTGTACACTGTCTAAATTCTAACGAGACCGTAATTCATTTTATTCTTGTGTTTTCTACATGGATGAAATTATGGGAGTCGTTACCGCCCTGTATCAGCTGGGTTTGTAGCATAACAATCACTATAACGTGTGGTCTGTGGAGCCTTCAGTTTGTGCCAGACATGCCGGCCGTTTTGCCCTTCCCATCCGCATTATAGAATGATAGAATAATTGATGCTATGTTCATTTTTTGAGTCTTTCTGATGTACTACGCCTCATTGTAAGGACTTTTTGTGTCCTTAAACATGAGACTCCTTTTTTTATTACCACTCCATCATACTGCTAGTAACTCCTCATCACTATTCTAATAACTCCTTTCTTACCACAACAACCCTACGAGCTGTTGATACTATACTCTTATTCCCTGCTTAAAATCACCGCTTCGCGATGATAAAGTAACCTGCCCAAAGTTACAGGGTAAATGTTGGATTTGGGATTCGAATGTAGGAGTCCAAACGAAGTCTGTGTTCTTCCCCACACACCATGTTGCCAGTCCTTATGAACCCAGGGAAGAATGTGGTAAAGCTTCTCGCTCTGTGGAGATGTGCGACGGCGGGTTAGGATAAGAAAGCTCTGCTGTTCCAGTTTACTTCCGCTGTAGCGATGACAGTGCTTCACCATGAGTCACAGTGACGGCCTGTCATTATCATCATTAATTGGAGCCCATCGTAGAATGGGTAAGACATGTTTAATTCTCTAGTTTATGCTTCCAAAAGTGAACTTTTGAACATACAATTCGATGTTTAAACCTTCAGCTGTGAAAGGCAGAGTATGAGATGAAGCGATGGCCAATGTTCTGATTAGAACAGATGGCCTACCGTTGGGCTGTGGCTGGCACGGCTAGGATTGCGGTGTATCTGACTCAAAACCCCGTGCCCTTTTCATATTACATCTGTAGATCTCTCTTTTCTTTATAAGAGAGCAAATTAGTTAAGTAACAGAAGTTGAAGCCTTAAGTGGTGAGGTCAAGGGTGTTTGTGCCTCTTTGACCTCTTAGCTCGTGGTGGAATTAAAAGGTGTTGTTGCCAGGAGTTCTAGGGTTCCCTTTCACGTGGGGCTGGTGTTTTGGAGGTGCTAGCAAGGTTTCCCCCATTTGGGAAGTCACTCTAGATGTAGGTACGTACTCATCTCAATCTGTCTCATATGAATGTTGGAAACAAAGACTTTTAAAAGTCCCGGATTCTGTCCTTTGCCACTCTAATGAATGCTAGTTAGGAGATCATGGGCGAAAATCACTTGTCCCATTCTGATCTGGGTTTTTTTTTCCTCCTAATTCCCCCCCTGAGTTTCGTTATGTAAACAAATAAAAACAAAGTTTTTTTTTTTTTTTTTAACGCATATCATAAAATCATGTAATAAGATCTTTCATTTATTTTATTCGTTTTTATCTTCAGATATAGTGCCTGGCATGTAGAAGTGCTTTTTTGAATGAATATGTGAATGAACAAATGAACATAGAAATGAAATAATGTTTACCTCTTCATTGAAAAGACTCGCTGAATGTCTACCGTGTGCCAGACACTTTTCTAGACCAGGGGGTGAGCACCAGAGAAGACGGTCACAAGCGAACATAGAAATGAGATCGTGTTTACCTCGTCACTGAAAATACTCGCTGAGTGTCTACCATGTCCTGAGTACTTTTCTAGACCAGGGACGAGCACCAGAGAAGACGGTCACGGTGTGTGCTCCACTGTGACCACCTTCCGTGAGGGAAATTAGAAAAGAGTCAAGTAAAGAATAGGTTATGTCAGACACTTTGATGGCGGAAGTGCTTTGTGGCCGCACTATGGGCACTGGGCGTAACCAGCGTAGAGGGAGCGGAGGAGATCAGCCAGTCCGGCCAGGGGTCTGAGGGCGCCTGGAGGGCATCGAGCTGGGGGGACACAGGTGTCCTTCCCGGCAGAGGCAGGAGCTGAGACTTCTCCAGCAGCAGCAGGAAGCCCGGGTGTTTTCGTAGCATTCCCTGCGGGAATGGCAGGGTCAGGTTTGTATCTTAAACCTCCATCCTTGGGTAGTGCCGCTTGCTGTTCAGTGACTCTTCTGTGACAGCCTCATGCCAGATAAGCTCTGCATAGTGTTTCTTTTCCTTTTCTTATACAGACACGCTTTTAAGCATGGTTTTCCTTTCTTCAGGAAGAAGAGTTGAGGAAGAGTGGGGAAGCAAAATACTTTCACCTCAACGACGACCTCCACGTTCTCATCGAAGTGTTCGCTCCACCAGCAGAAGCATATGCCCGGATGGGACACGCACTGGAAGAAATCAAAAAGTTCCTCATTCCTGTTAGTACGGTTCACCCTGACAGTTAATCTGTCCGTTGAAGTCCTTTCTTTCTTTTCACCCCTGGTAACTCTTCTAGTGATTGTTATTTGCACAGCACTTCACTTGTCGAAAGGGTCCCTGTGAATTGGTTGGCAGTTTTCTTTCTTTATATCGAGGCGAGGGGTTTTTCAAGAGATTAGGTCGCTCCGGGAAGGCTGCACGGCCAAGAAGGGTGAAGAGCACCCTTGCCAGTTCACGTGTGGGGGCTCCCACGTCCTAAGCTTCCTCGTGGTGTTAAAATCACCTCCAGATCCACTGTTCTCCCACACGGATGCGCTAGTGCCTTCCATGGCACCAAGCACTGTGTGTGGGTTCGGGCCAGAGGCATGAATAAAAGCAGTCCCTACCCTCCAGGAACACGTAGCGTAGAAGAGAGAAACGTAAGCCGAGGATTTCAGTACCGCGAGGTACACGTAACGACAGACCAAAGTGTCAGAAGCCCAGAGAAGAAGGACACCGTGGAGGTAGTTGGCTGGCTTCTGCCAGGTGTTTTGTGCTTTGTTGATGGAACAATTGCTTGTCTCTTTTTAACCCTTTCCAGACACTTTGACGTTGCTAAGAATGGGATTATTTAAAGAGAGTGTATCCCTACTTCCATTATGAAAGTTAATTTAGGTCTTCTGTATAACTTGCATGTTCTAGATTAAAAAACTAAAACATTGAACATTTTGCCTCTTTAGACAATTTATTTAGAGAAGCTGTCACATCTGCCAAACAGCTGCCTGGGGTAAGACTGTCTTCAGCAGTCCCAGGTTGGTCTAGTAGATTGACTTTACATATTGTAGCATATGTATCATGACTATATTATCTGTGAAGAAAACTGTTGAATTTACAAGGAAAGGATATTGTCAATCACGATTGCCTTGGAAAAGCCAAGACATGGGATTGTATTAAGTCATTTTACTTGGGAGCTGAAAATGTTTAAGCTTCCCTTTGTTCCCTCAAGCCAATATGATGATACATTTATTCATTTAGTTTAAAAACAAAGATTTTGAGTGCTTTCTATGTGGTAGATAACATGGAAACTAATAAAAGACATTCTTTTCTCTTCCCCTGTGGAGTCTGTCTAATGGGGGAGTTTGATAAGAATCAGATACCCATATAAACATTGGCACTCTGACAAGACTAAGGAGAGGTAAATTTAATGTCTTAGTGATCAGTCTTAGGGGGTGTTGACCTAGCCACGTGGGCTGCCACAGGGCCTCCCACCCTGTCCCCTTTGCACTCCTCCACCAAGACATGGTTTCTCTGTCCTTGAATCTAGGCTGCCAGGAGAACTCTTTGCCTAACCCCCAGTTACAAAGATTTTCTGCTGTTTTCTTCCTAATCTTTTATAGTATTAGCTTTTACAGTATTAGTATTAGCATAGTATAGTATTAGTATATAGTATGTGTCATTTAAGTCTATTATCGTTAAGTTTATTTCTTTTTTAGAGAAAAGGAGTGAATGCACATGCAAGTGGGGGAGGGGCAGAGAGGGGGAGAAGTGTGTGTGGGGAGAGAGAGAGAGAGAGAGAGAGAGAGAATCCCAAGCAGGCTCCATGCTGTCAGTGCAGAGCATGATGTGGGGCTCGAGCCCGTAAACCATGAGATCATGAACTGAGTGAAAACCTAGAGTCAGATGCTTAACCCGCTGAACCACATGGGTGCCCCAAGTCTGCGATCGATTTTAAGTTTTGTGTGGTGGGAAGGTAGGATGTAGGTTTATCGTTTTTTATATAGAGGGCCAGTTGTCCCAGCACCATACGATGAAAAGACAATTCTTTTCCCGTTGAACAGCAACACCATTGTTGAAAATCGATTGAACATAAATGTGTGGATTTGTTTCTGGATTCTCAGTTCTGTTCCATTGAAGTATATGCCTGTCCTAATGCCGGTGTCATGCCCTTAATTACTTTAGCCTTCTAGTACTTTGATTTGAAATCCAGGTTGTTGATTCTTTTACAAAGAAAAAGTTCTACTTCAAAATTGTTTTGGTTATTTTGGCTCCTGTGCATTTCAACATCTATTTCAGAATCAGCTTATCAATTTCCACACAGAAGCCTCCCGGGGTTTTGATAGAGGATTGAATCTGTAGCTCAATTTGGGGATTATTTCCATCTTAACAATATTTAGTTTTCCAGTCCACAAATATGAAGTGTCTCTACTTAACAGATATTTTTTTTTCATTTCTTTCAGCAGTGTTTCATAGTTTTCAAGGTACTAGTCATATATATACTTTTATTAAATTTACTCCTAAGTATTGTACACTTTTTGATGCTGTTGTGAATGCAGTTTTTAAAATTTCATTTTCCGTGATCCTAGGTTATAGAAATGCAGTTGACTTATATACACTGATCTTGGGTCTTGTAACTTTGCCGAACCATTAGTTCCAGTGTGTTGTTTCATTTTTATGGAATCATTAGGATTTTCTATATGCAGGGTCCTGTTATCTGTAATAAATTTTACCTCTTCTTTTCGGATTTTAAGGAAATTAAAATTCAGTTTTTTATTTTATTTTTCCCTTGTTACGCTGACTAGAACTTTGAGTGCTTTGTTGAGTAGGAGTCGTGAAGACAGACCTCTTTCTTGGTGCTTTGAGTTTTCACCATTAAGTCTGATGTTAGCTGTAGAGTTCATTGCTGCCCTGTATCTTGTTGAAGACGTTCTCTTCTGTCCCTAGGTGTTGAGAGGCTTTATCCTGAATGAGTGTTTGTTGTTGTTGTTGTTGTTAATACTAGTGTATTGCATTCGTTGATATCCAGATGTTATGCCAACCTTGCATTACTAGGTGAGATCCCACTGAAATTACACGTTGCTAGAATTGATTTACAATCGCTTGTTAAGGATCTTGACATCTATAATCATGGCGGATATTGGCTTGTAGTGCCGTATCCTTATAATCTTTGTATTAACCCACACATTTACCATTGCGGCTTCCTTTTTCTTTCTGTGGGTAGAGTTACCATATGGTGCTACCTCTTTTCAGCCCAAAGGACTGCCTTTAGCCTTTCTTGTAACTGAGACCTGCTAACCAAAAAACTGGTTTTGCTTTTCTCAGAATGTCCTTATTTCGCCCACCCTCTGAAAGATAGTGTGTATAATTCCTGGTTGACAGTTTTTTCTTTCCAGTCGTAGAAGGCCAGTCTGCTGCTTTCTGGCCTTCATCATTTTTGGTGAGAAGGGCATTCATTCATGATTTTGTTGCTAATGTACGTGATCTGTTGTTTTTCTCTTGCTGCTGCCAAGGCTTTGTCTTTTCATTTCCATTAATTTGACAATGGTTGTGTGTGCTTATCTTCCTTGCTTGTTAAGCTTTGTGAAGCCATAGGTACATGTTTTTCTTCAAATGTGGGACATTTTCAGCCATTGTTTCTTGAGAATTTTTTTCTCTTTTTTCTTTCTCCTCTGCTCCCCTCAGGCCCTGGGCTCCCATTGGTTGTATGTTGGTCCACTTGATGGTGCCCCGCATTTCTCTGAGTCTCCTTTCCCTTCATCCTTTCTTCTCTGTGTTCCCAACTGGATCAGTTTAATTGGCTTATCTTCAAGTTGGCTGACCCATTCTTTTGTCATCTCAACTCTATTGTTGCACTCCTTTGGTTAGTTTTTCATTATCGTTGTTGTTGTACTTTCTTTTCTTTTTCTTTTTTTTCTAAATCTTTTTTTTTTGTCCAACATCTGGGCCCTCTCCAAGATAGTTTCTTCCTTCCTTCCTTCCTTCCTTCCTTCCTTCCTTCCTTCCTTCCTTCCTTCCTTCCTTCCTGTCATGTTTTCATGTTTCTTTGCATGTCTCCCAGCTTTTTTGTTGAAAATTCCACATTTCAGGTAGCATATTATAGCACATTTACATTCCAACTCATTTTATTCTTCAAGCTCTGTTGTCACAAGTTGTTGTTTGTTTGTTTCTTTAGTAATTTAGTTGGACTAAATCTGCAGAGTCTGTCTACTTCATGGTTTACAGCTTTGTTAATTTTTTTACTTCTCACTTTTATTTTTAAGCCTGGCCTGCTGGGCGTGTCCTGTATGGCCACATCTCTCGGACATCAGCCAGTGATTACTTAGAGGCTGTGCTCACACACCTGTGTTAGTAAGTCTTCTGCCCCCTGCTGATAAAATTGTGGGGGTGCATCCACAGGTTGGTCCATCATCGTATCTTCCCTGGTCTGTACTTCACTTGTGACCGAGGTGTTAATCCCTCTACTTCCTTTGCCAGGTGTACAGACTCACTGTCAGGGAAGGATGTGTGGAGAGTGTTAAGCTCTCTCCATTCTCTGCTGTACATGTGCTTAACCTTCCATTCAGCAGAGAAGTGCGGGGAGCGTATCCAGGCTCTCCAAGGCTGCTCCGTTTCTGGCTAGTCTGCCAGGCTGTCACTTGCCCCACCCAGAACCTGAGTATTAGGCTTGCTGATTCACTGGGCTTCTATTTATTTGCTACCAAAATGGCTACTGATACTGACAGTGCTCCTGGGCATGGGAGTTTTTCATACCTTCTTCCAAATTAAGGGAGCTTCCCCTGCAGCAAACTGTTGGTCTTCATGTCTTTCCCCACAGTGGTACCGACACGTCGTCTGGGCTGGGGGGGGGGTGGGCGGGTAGCATCCCCACACAAAATGCCACAGACTCCCACTCTTCGTGCCTGACACGAATACATTTCTTGTATTTTTAATTTATTATATAACTTCAGTCAGTTCCCACTGTTCTGAAATGGTTGCTTATACATGTGTGGTCAGCTTTTGTTGTTGCTTTTTATGGAATGGCTTTGCCAAGCTCTTTGGCTGTACTAAAAGTCCCTCCTCTCTTATTTATTTTTTTAATCTTATATTATTTTGGACCTCTGACCATATGAGCATGTGCAACATTTCCCTCCATTCTTTTTAACGTCTGCATAATATTTCATCATATGCATGTTCTAAAATTTATTTAATCAGTCCTCAAATAATGAACATTTATGCTATTTCTTGTAGAGTATAATACAAACAC